AGGGCGAGTACCTGATCCAATGACTGAGCCTGTCCTCTTTTGCACCGAACCACACAAGGCAACTCTTGCCAGAGGAGTTCGGAGGGTCAGGCGTTTAGTTGGGCAATGTGGAACGCAGCCCAGATCGTACTCCTCCACTAACGAGCAACTCATCCCAATATGATGCTGCCTACTTTGGGAAAAGAACAACAACAACAACAACAATGACAACATTTTTCTTTTTGGAGCGCCAATTTCCTTCAGGAAAATCACCAATGTAAGTCTATGGAGCACGAGCCTAATTTCCCCCTCTTAGCCTGTAAGGGCCTATATTCACACCCGCAATTTCAGCCAGATAGATCCCCCTCTAAGCCCCAATTTCTGGCTTGGAATTGTGACAAGGTGAGCTGTCTGAGTAAGGTCACTACAGCCCTTCAATACCTTTCTATTTCCAAAAAGAGTCCACTGCAAAAAGCTGACAAAACTTCACAAAAGACAAAAGCTGCTGAACCGTAGCAGCAACTGCAACAAAATCAACTGAGGGAGCACTCAATGAGGAGAGTGAAAGCGCGGGTAGGCCTCGCGCAGGAATTGGATACGGAATATCACATGGACTGGGGTAAGACTACCAGTAGGAGGGAGATAAGGGGCACAACCCTGAGAAGAAGAGGAAAACTACAGAAAGTTTCGCCAAAGAAGTACTGGGTTCAGGCAGAATAAGGGAAAAGAACTGAAGAACAGCTAAAACTCAACTCGGACACAATGGTCATAAACAACACGCACACAACACACACAAGGAGAAGACTCGTTCCACAGCATGCTGGGTTGACGTCGACCCGCCACCGTCGGCGTCGACCCGGCATGGCAGCTTCCCGGTTCCAAGCGCAGGTGACACACAAAACAACGACGAGGTCGTTACCAAAGACAACAGCATACACGCACGGACCAGCAGAGCATCGTGAGTGGCGACAACACAACCGATCCAGTGGACGGCGACGCCAGAGTTCACCGTGGTCACACGCGGCAAGGAAGGAGAGAGGACAGGATACAGGGGGCAACACATCTCCTATGAGGAAATTGACTCTTGGACCGCCGCAGAGAATTCCTAGGGTCTAGGGTTTAGTCAGGCAGCTGCCTTAAGGCGGGCCAGGGTGAGAAGCTCAGAAGGAAAGCAGGGGTCTGGTTTTGTGCCTGTTTCTTTCAGGGGAATCCCCCCCTTTCCTTTAGATCTGCCCAGGTACGGGTGCAGTAACCTACCGGGGGAGGTTACCTGGGCAGCGGTGTCTGCGTCGAGGCTGGACCTGGCTGGCTGTCACTTGCGGAGGATCTCTTGGATATCAAGTGCTGACATGTAAGTCCTTGCCTCAACCGAAGGTCAGGATGGGTATCGCTGCAGTTTCTACCACCTGGTCATGGTTGCCGTGGTGAGGGCATCTGGCTGTTATGACCGAGGTCGCCGGTTCGAATTCCGTTGTGTTGGCTGTATTCTTCTACCGTTCAGCAGTTTTGCACGAATATTCCAGTTTTTGCCAGCTGAAGCCAGGTAGAGGCCCCGGTACCTCAACTGATCTGATCAGTTCACTTTACTAGATGGCACCCATCTAACACACGATCAAGGCAATGCAGCAATTATCAAGAGAGTAATTACCAATTACCAAGTAGAGGGCTATTCGGTAGCTAAACATAACGAGGGCAAGGGAGTACTAGAATTCGATCAAGGGGAGCTATAATTACTACATCAATCAATCCGAGGCTGTAATTAAGTGAAAAAAAGTTGATACGGCAATCGAACTGGCGGAATCAATTGTCAAGGCAGTAACTACAAAAGGGCAGTCGCCAACGAGTTATACATGAAACAAGGCAAGACCGCAACACAGAGAAAAAACAAAAAGAAAACAACAGGGAACCAATTGCAAGTTCGCAACAGTGATCAAAGGAGCCAACGAAAAAAACAAATAAAAAAATTTGCAGGATCCCCCCCCCCCCCAACAAACAAAAAACAAACAAACTACAGGATCCAAATCATGGTTGCCCTGGCCCCGGACAACTGGACACAGACAGTGTCTGGATCAAACTGGACGTCCGGTTAACCGGACATCAAACCGGACATCCAGGCATCCGGACCCGGACAGTCCGGTTTGCTGTGTCGGTGTCTGTCTGGATTAAAACACACACACACACACACACACACACACACACACACACACACACACACACACACACACACACCAAGCAGAGAGCTCAAATGCACCAAGATTCCATNGCACACACACACACACACACACACACACACACACACACCAAGCAGAGAGCTCAAATGCACCAAGATTCCATCCAAATAAGAGCAAAGCAGTGAACTCGTGTGCCAATGTCATCGCCCTCAGGCCCCACCAACACAGTATCCAATGTCGCTCATCTCTGTCTGGCGCCATCGCCCTCCCATCCCTGCTCGCCCCTCCCATCCTTCATCACCCTCCCATCCTTCATCACCCTCCCATTTGTCATCGCCCTCCCATCCTTTATCGCCCTCCCATCCCTGGGCCAGACCCTCCTCCCGCGTCACAGAAATGCAAGGAATATGAGCGAGAGCGGTAGACAGAAAATCAAGTTGCAAAATCACGTCCAGATAGTCATATACCAAGGAGAGAGCTCAAATGCACCAAGATTCCATCCAAATAAGAGCAAAGCAGTGAACTCGTTTGCCAATGCTATCACACAGAGGGCCCTTTCAGGGCCTGTCCGGTTGGGGTACCGGTTCTCAAAAAACATCAGCATTGTTTTTCTGGGGTACCCCAGGCCCAGGTAAACGGCCTGGGAACCCCAAACTTTTTTTTTTGAATTTTTCGAAATCAAACCGGACACCGGACACCGGACTGTCTGGATCGGGATCCGGACGTCCGGTTGGTAACCATGATCCAAATGCCTCTGGATCATCCGAGGCGAATCCTCTGGATTCAGAGGACCAAAGGGGATTCGACCCCTGGCTAGGCACGTCTCGCGCACAAAAAAAATAGTTTTTTTTGTATGAGCGTTGTACTCCATTGTACGGAGGTTGTGCTCCGCGCTGCACTCCATTGTACTCTACCCGCAGCACCAGTTCTGTATTTAAAAAAAAAACAATTATCAGAAAATTCTGAAAAAACTATATGTGATAGAATACATTATTCCGCATGGCTCACGCAGGAATGAATTCAATGRCTGGGCGCTGCCTCTTGATTTATACTTCTGCAGCTCGTTGGTCTGGCCCTTTCCCATGCCCGTGGCAGAGGTGGGCAAATTTTTTTTTTCCTCACCCTCGACCCAACCCGCCCAATTTTTTTTTTTCCCCATCCACCCAGCCCAAGAATTTTATTTTTTACTCTTAGACAACCCCACCCACCCAAAATATTTTTTGATATTTCAGCCCCACGCCCGATCCGCCCGTGACCTGAAAAAAACCCTCACCCACACCCGCCCGCACCCGTAAGAGTATCATCACCCACCCGCGTCCAATACCTAAATTTTCTTCACCCGCACCCACCCGCATCAGCCCGTGCCTGCCCATGCCAGTCCCTTACACCATCACGATTTCATCGGCAACATAGCATTGCAACAAAGACCTATAAAATCCTATTATTATTAACATCAATGCAATCAGACTCGTCTTCTTTTCCACTTTGCATACATGCACACAGTCCCATGCGGTACTTGCTTGACTGGACCAGGACTGACTGGGACTGGAACTGCTGACTCAGCACGGGTAGACTCCACCACTTGCCCACTTGCCTCAGCCTAAACATGGGCATCTTCGAAAGGCCACTACTGGGACCTTCCGGAAGGCCGTAGACTTGGCCTTTCTGGACTGTAGCAGCTACGACCTTGACCCTTCGGGAAAACTACAGCTACGACTTCTAGACCTAACTGAAACTCCTACTCGACAGGTCTACAGATCGAACCCCTGCTTCCTATGGACCCTACGACAGCCTACCAACTGTTACAAATACACAGGTCTCGGGTTCAACTCTATGGGTCGACACAGATACTGTACACATGTAAGGTGGGGACTAGGGATCGAGCCCTCGGATCTGCATCGGCTACTGCGAACTGGTGAATACCGTTTCAGCACGTTCCAACGCGTACAAAAAACAAAACATGCGTAGTACGGGGGGTGTATGCCTACAAAGGAATGCCCAGACCCCCGGATTCGATTTCGATTCTCTGGATTTAGTTTTGATCCTCTGGATCAGAAGGGGATCCCCTAGATTTGCTTTTGATCCTCCGAGGATCAGAAAGCGGATACTCTGGATTTGATTTTGATCCTCTGGATTCGATTTTTATCCCCTGGATCAAGAGGGGCATCAAAATGGGATCCTCTGGGTTTGATTTTGATCCTCTGGAACAAAGGCTGAGAGTTAGGCGATCAAATCAAGGGTGGCACAAGCAGAATGAGATCAAGAAGATCAACAAAGGCCGCAGTCACTTGAGTATTGTTATTAACAGAACAATAAAGTCCAAGCAGTACACCAAATAATGGTCAACAGTTAGCGCATATTCAAACTAGCACTTTCTTACTTCTTTCTGGACGGAATTGCGGCCAGATGCAGGCAGGGACGGCCGTAAATGCAGTCAGATACATTTAAGAAAGTGCTAGTGTGAGTATGCCTTTACGTAAGCAAACCAACGGCAGCAACAGAACCAAATCCACGATGACAGTCCTGTCCGATTATTATCAAAACCCAAACCTGGTGACAGGCAAGAGCATTAAACAGTAAAGCTATCGTACACACAGACAAGCGAGACACTCGCTGGATGTAACCAAGTACACCTCTGCCACATGTCTTGCATCAGCCGAGAGTCAATACAGCCTGCCTACTGTACACCCTTTGTGCCCATAACTGTTGCAATTACGGCTGAGCTGGAGCTGGTGCTTATTGCTTGGCTGGCACTTCCTGCTTGGCTGGCACGTACTGCTGAGCTGGCACCTCTGAGCTGATAGATCCTTGATCCTATAACTGTTGCACTTGCTGCTGAGCTGGCACTTACCGCTGAGCTGGCGTTTACTGCTGCGATGCCACTTACTGCTGAGCTGCCACTTATGCCTGGGCTGGCACTTACTGCTTAGCTTATAAATGCATTGATCATATAACGGTTTGCACTTACTGCTGAGCTAGCTCTTACTGCTGACCTTGCACTTACTATGGAGGTGGCACTTACAGCTGAGCTGATACTTACCGCTGGGCTGGAAGTTACCGCTGAGCAGCCACTTACCGCCGAGCAGCCATTGCTGCAGAGTTGCCACTTACGGCTGAGCTGGCACTTACTGCTGAGCTAATGGACGCTTTGATCACATAAACTGTTGCACTTACTCCTGAGATGGCACTTACCGCTGAGCAGCTACTTACTGTTGAGCTGCCACTTACTGCTGAGCTGAAACTTCCTGCTGAGCTGATGGACGCTTTGATCACATGTTGCACTTACTACTGCACTGGCATTTAATGCTGAGCTGGCACTTACCGCTGAGCTGGTGGATGCTTTGACCGCATAACTGTTGCCTTACTGCTGAGCTGGCACTTACCGCTGAGCTGGTGGATGCTTTGACCACATAACTGTTGCCTTACTGCTGAGTTGGCACTTACCGCCTAGCTGGCACTTACTGCTGAGCTGGCACTTTTTGCCCAGCCGCTACTGACTGCTGAGCTGATGCTTACTGAGGAGCAGGAACTGAGCTGGCAGTTTCTGCTGAGCTGTTGGACACTTTTGATCCCATAGTACCTGTTTGCACTTACTGGTGAGCCGGCACATACGGCTGAGCTGCCACTTACTGCTGAGCTGGTACTTGTTGCCAAGCTGGTACTGACTCTTGAGCTGACACTTACTGCGGTGCAGGCTCGTCCTCTGAGCTGGCACTTAACTGCTCTGTCTCAATGATGGTCCATTCACCTCAGTGCTGCTGGATCAGTCAAAAAAATCTGAGGCCGCCCTCTGATGGGCCTGCTCTACCCTTTATTGAGCAAACCAACCAGGCCAACTGCAGGAGAACAACGACTCCACAAAGTCCTTATTAGCCAGTCAACTGTGGTGGGAAGCACCGAGGACACTGCATCTGGACGATGGTTGGCTCAACCCACAAACCAGCTACTGGACTTTTGTCCTCACCAGGAATTGCTGGTGGCAACAGGTATTCCCACTCAGCGGCAGGGGGCTTACATCTGTGGTGACCCTATGCTTCAGTTACATGAGCAAAATCTCTCTCTCTCTCTCTCTCTCTCTCTCTCTCTCTCTCTCTCTCTCTCGTGTGTGTGTGCATGCGTGCGGGGAGGATTTTGCCAAAGGATAATGTCAATCACATATCTTCAGGCAGCCATCTTCACATCCGATTATGAAAACCTGGGAGTAGTTCAGAACCTGGATAAATAGCGCATTAGAGGGCTCCTTGTGGCCGGTCCTCGAGTTGAAAAGCTTCAATCCTACTACCTTCTGCTGCCCATCCTGAAGACACCGCGGAACCAAACAGGATGACAGACACAGATTTTATCAGAGCTAACAAGTGCTTTTTAACTTGCGATTGGAACAATGAAAAAGAAAAAGGAAATAAGGACAAAGCCATGACCACGCCACCATGGTCAAAAATCCGACTAGAGACGGGCTATAAGGAAGTGCATGCAAACCCCTCCCTCTGCCCTTCACAAACACACACACACACGCACACACACACACACACACAAAAAAAAAAAAGGTTTAAAACCCAAAAAAAACAGGGTGATGGAAAAGGGAGTGAACAACGGACCAAACAAGGCAAGAAAGGAGCCCGAAAAAGACAGCATTTCCTTCCCTCAGACGAGCCCATCGAAGGAGCAGCAGATGTCCGAGCAATTCATACAGAAGGAGAAGTCCCTGCATCGTGACTCTCCCCTCTTGTCGTGACCTGTTCCTTTCCCCTCGTTCTCTCTTTTTCCATTTTTTCTCCTTCCTTTTCTTTTTTCTTTTTTCTTTTTTTCCTTTTTTCTTTTTTTTTCTTTTTCTTGTTCTTCTTTTTTCTTTTTTTTTTCCGTCGAGCTTCCTGCCCGCCTTGTCCCAAAACGAAGAATTACGAACTCGCACCAAGGAAAATGCGGCTGCACCATACCCCCAAGTATGCAGCGCGGTACTAACGACAGGGAGCACCAAAAAAGAGAGATGGGACACATGCACAATAAACAGATCCTTCGAGAAAAAGCCACACACATCAAAGTAGGACAACTCACCTACTTTCATTTTTTGCATCACACACATTTTTCCTTTCTTTTTCCCTTTTTCTTTCTTCTTTTTACTCTCTTTTCCCTTTTTTCATGGCTACCGCGGGCCAGGACACCGGACCGATCCGGACCCAGACAACCAGTTGGTCCAGATATGATCCAGACCAGTCCGGACCTATGAATGTTGAATGCAGTTTCATCGTATAACCTCACTTAAGGGGCAGTGTTTCAGGAAGACATAGCTGTTGGCATATATGACAAACATGCATGATCATTCCTTGACATTCACTGTGCTGGCACAGTCACTGCAAAGCACAAACTGCTGCAAGGGAAGAAAAAGTGAAGAAACAAAAAAAAGAGCATTCCACAGTAAACTTGAATAAAGCTAAAAAATAAATATTAAAATAAAGTTCGAGACTTTAGCAGTTCAGACCTTCAAAGTTCAAAGTTCGAAGTCCAACTTCAAACTCTCTCTCTCTCTCTCTCTCTCTCTCTCTTTTTGCATGTGCGCACCAGTCCACAATGATAACGAGGGCTCTCTCTCCCTCTCCCTCCGTGTGTGTGTGTGCGTGTGTGTGGGGGAGGCGGTGGATGGGCAGGAAAGCACTCTGAAGTGCCTAGATCCGCCCTTTCTTCCCTTTGTCGCCGGGGAACCGCGCTCTGCCTCCAACGGTCTGCTCAGGATGCAAGTAGAAAAGGGGACGGTCCGGCCGCCCTGTACGGCCGATACCGGCCCCAAAAATCATCAAAACATTTGGACCCAAGGAACAGGTCTAGGGTTTCCCCTTTTTTTTTTGAATTTCGGGGTTTTGGCCCCTTCCGGACGGGCCTCCTACGGTCCGGCGTCCAGACACCGGACAGCAGACCTGTCCGGATGTCCGGATGTCCGGATGGTAGCCATGCCTTTTTTTAAGTTTCTTTCTTTTTTCTGCCTTTCTTCGTTTTTTCCTTTTTTTGTTTTTTTCCTTTCATGTACGATAGACCCTCCGCCTGACGTCGGAAAAGACGCTCCAAGGTTGGGCGACAATTCCCCTTCATGAAAAATGACGATGGAATGTGTCTCACTTGTCGAATAAAAAGAAGGAGACAGTAACAATTGAACTAGTGAAGCGATCGATTCATTTTTTAGCGGAGGAGCGCGCTGTGTGAATTTGTAACGGCGGTGTGCGACCTTCGGCAAGGCGAAACCGACGGGCAGCTCAAGTTCTTCGGGCGATGGACGTCGAGGTCGATCTCGATCTTCTCAAGGAACAAAGTGACAGGGAAGAAGTGGGATAATTCCTATCCGCATTAGTACCAACGCGAGCGACGCACTCGCAAAAGCACCTCACTCAGCAGTCAATCGTGAGAACGACAACGCTTCAGCTCACACGATGACTCCCTGCACTGCAGCAGCAAATGCACCCGCACCGCTTTCTCTCCTTTTGGGCTTCTACCTCATTGCGCTCTTCTTCCTAGCTCTCATTCCCAATGCTATTAGAGCAGCCGCTGGCATTTGGCTAAGCAAGGAAGAGTGGATCTGGCTCAAGCCTGCGAAAGTATCTGGCACAGTCTCCACCTTTGCCATACTCTTCTCTGCGCTAGCACTAGCCCTTGCGCTTTGCTGTATCACAGCTGGGGTAGGGATTGTCTTCGCTGCAACTGAGGTCACGCTTCAGCAATGAAGGAGGAAGAAGGACGCCAGGCTTTAGAATGGGAAGCATGCAGTCTTGTCGCTTTCCTAGCTTTACTGGCATATCTGGCCTTCCTGCTCTTCGTCCTTGCGATTCCCCCCACCCACCTCCCCACTGCTACCTCCTCCCCTTCCCCATCTCCTCCACACCTTTCCTTTCCTTCCAAAGACCACGGAAGAATTCCCCTCTGATGAAGCTCCATGTGGCCGGAGCAGAAAAGCGCTTCAGGGATGGGCCACTCCCTTCCCGCTGATCGGTCAGTTGTGCTCATGGTGCGAATTGTACCGGAAGAGAGTGACTGGAGGTGTATGACCTGATAAGGGATTCTCTCTCTCTCTCTCTCTCTCTCTCCCTCTCTCTCTCTCTCTCTCTCTCTCTTGCTGTCTTTGGGCGGAAGCGGTGATGTTTGGAGCAAACTTTTTTTTGAAGAATCCAAGTGAGCAATTCGTGTGGCTTTTTTTGAAATCACTGTGTACGAAATGAATGATGCCCAACAACTCTCACGCTTGTTATGGTTCCATCTCTCTCCTTTGTCATTTGATGAATCGGTGAACATAAAAAAGTTGCAACCCATTGTTGTTGAGCTTATTTACGTTTTCCGACGACAACCAGAAAGGTAATTGACGAACCGAAAATGGTAAACGTAAATACTAACAATCGTCCGTATAAGTCGTCCATATTTACATCTATCTAAAAGGATCTTGGTCAAGTAGCAGACCTCTGACGACAATTTTCTATCTAAGTAAACCATTTTGTGAACAAGGAATCTACGCGGTAATTCCATATGAAAATATCCTTAACACTCTTTAAGTGAATAGCGGTCCTCGAGTAACGCTCCCGCGAGAGACCGCTGTCCACTGTCGGGAAACGCAATGGGACAGGTAGGCGGGCCCGACAGACACCGCGTATGTCTTTCGGGCCGGGCCGAACCGGTGAGAATAGTCGAGATTGTCGGTCGGGCCCGCGTCGGACGGCCCGATAGATTTTTCGGGATCCGCGCCAACGATTCCCGAAACTTCTATCTGGCCGTCCACCGCGGGCCCGATCGACGATCGTGCTTTTAGGCTATGCACTTCGCCGTGCTGTTTCGATTGCTTTGGAACTTTGCTCACATGGTTCGATGATAGGTGCTTCTGTTTCGATTGCTTTGGAACTTTGCTCACACGGTTCGACGAGAGAGAGAGAGAGAGAG